AAAAAACTGTTGAAGTTTTGAATAATAAATAATAATAAATGAAAACTAAGAACAAAATAAAAAAATCAGATAGCAATAATAAAAACAATGATGGTAATAATACTGGCGAGAACAATAATGATGATTTTAGTAATAATATAATAGTAATTATAATTATAACAACAATAAAGATAAGAAATAACAGTAATAATAATAACAATAATTATAACAGTAAAAATATTAATAATTAGTAATTTAGAAGAAAATTTGGTAGCAAAGATGAAAACATTTTTCAGGTTTGGTGCAAAAACTTCAATGAAAGTTAGCAAGCTAAAAAAAATTTTTGTGATGCATACACAGCAAATGGATAATTTATGTATTTCAAATGTTAAACTTAAAATTAAAATTCTTTTCTTTTTCTTTCTTATTTTTCTCTTTTCTTTCTATTCAACTCTCTCTCCCCCTTCAACTTTCTTTTTTCAATCTATTTCCTTCGTTATCCCGTTTATTTCATTTGATAGTTCAATAATAGTACTAGAAATTTGCATCAATGACTCATAAAATATTTAAACTTTAAATCTTAAATTGTTGAAAAAAATTGCTCGTTACATTTTGAAATTCACTTTTTCCTTCTTTCTTTTTTTGTTTCTGCCATTTTTTCTTTCGTTGACATTTCGTTTTGCATATTTTCTGGCAAAACGAATAGAATGATAAGAAAGAAAAAACAACAAATTGTTATTGATTAGTTGTGGTAGAGTTTACTTAGCTATTAATTAGTTAATTAATTAATTAATTACTTAGTGTAATCATTCCTCATTTTATATTCAACTTCTTTTTTCTGTTCAAATTCAGTAATTTTTTCCCAAACTTTGTTTTCCTTTTTATTTTAACACATAAAGATATATCATTAAAAAACATATATAAATTACGAATTCCACTTAATTAGACATGAAAGAAAAACCCAAAATGAATATAACTCAATGAAATAATTTGAACTCGGAAATTTGAAAATGACACTACTCGATAAAATCACTGTAGAAATGTAAGCCAGAAATTAAGACTGTTTGTGAAGGAATTGAATACCGTTTGGTTGAAATTAACATTTCTCTTTTCTATTAAATTCTGTAAACAAATTAACGCTATAATTACATCCCTTCCACGATGGATAATAATTTCCACTTTTTTCTATCTTTTTAATTCATTTTACTTTTCACAACCCAAATTATGCAACAAAAAAAAAAAAAAAACAGCAAAATTATTAATTAAAATATCATCCTAATTAGAACACAGTTGTTAAATAATTTATTATAGTTAATTAAAATACTTCCATAATATTAATTTCTGGTTTTAGCATATAATAAAATATTACTGTTACTATTATCACTATTACTATTATTATTATTATTATTATTATCGTTATTATTATTGTTTAGAAAATAATATTTTTTAGAATTTTATTGCATGTAAAACCAAAAAAAAGAAATGAAATAATGGATGAAAGTAGAAAATAAACATGAAGAAATCTTTAGACAATGAATGATAAATTTCCTTATCAGTCGTGTTATCACTCTTTCAATCCTTTTACTGCTATGATCATCGGTATTACTGTACACATCTGTGTCTTTTATTTTTTAAATACTTTCTTTTTTCATCTCAGTTTTTTCCTTTTTTCTTTTCAGGTCACATGCATTTTCTTTTGTGCCATAAATATTATTTTTTAAAAAATTCAATGATTTTTTTAACTTCAGAGTCATTGGTTCTTTTTGGCAAAACATTAATTTTATTTTGTTGAAAAAAAAAGAAACGAAATTTATAAATTAAATTAAATTAAATAGCACCATTATGTATTTATTGAGATTAATTAGAAAATGAATAAGAATTCTGAAATAAATGGAACAAGCTGCTAGTTAGTTGAAAAAAAAAGTGAAATGAGTAAATTTTTTTTGCGAACAGTAATCATAAATGTTCAAACACTTGGAAAAGACATTCGTAAAATTTTAATCAGTCGATTAAATTAATAAATTAATTAGCTGATTGAAGAAAATGAAATGAATTAGCATTGATGAAATTCAAACGTATTAAATAATCAAATCAATAAAGCATTTCTGAACTTCAAATGAATTAATCATGCCGGCAAACCATTCCTGAAATTCAAATGAATCAGCCAATATATGTCCTTAAATTTATTTGCAAAAAATTTTAGAGATAACAACGAAATAACCAAAATTTGCATTTATGGTTTTTATTTTAGTTTAATATAAATAATTAAACAAATGGAAAGAAAAAAAATTCATATATTAATATTTGTCATTATAGTCGATAAATACACTATAATTATGAATCACTGTAGTAGCAAATAACTATGATTTCATAGTTTAAAATGCTTTTGAGATTCAAAGCTTCTGTTTTTCGCAATCATCCACTGATCTGTTGATAATGATGATGGTGATTAAAAATGATGCGAAACTGCAAAAAAGAGGATTGTAAATTAATTTGTCAGTTAAAATAATTTTTTTCTTTACAACACTTATTGTTTATTCATTTTAATTTCATCCAAGTTAATATTGATTTATTTTCATGGCTTTAAACAGAATACTTATTTTTCAGAGAAAAAAAAACGAAAGACCTTTTTTAAAGATAAAAAAAATCGAAAAAAAGAGTGCAAAAGAAATGTATGGTAAACTTTTTTTTAATGTTTACCAATGTCAACAATTTTTTATTTATAACATAGATAAAATCATTTCAAAAATTGAAATTTGTTATATGAAATTACATGAAAAAAAAAGTTTTCTAGGAAAAAATTATCAACAAGTGAAACAATATGCTCTTTCTTGGCATTATTATGATTTAAATATTTTTATTTCAATTATCTTCCATTAAATTTGCAAACAATTTCGAAAACTAATTACCAAAATACTTTTTAATCTGACAGATGAGAGAAAAGAAGTATTTATTTACTTAATTTTACAAAAAGCTTAAAATGCTTCTTTTGATTGTGCCTCAATAGCTGTTTGATAGGATGGACTTTGCACTTCGTGTTTTTATCAAAAAATAAACCAAATGTTCGATAAATGCTGTAAACTTTTCGATTATCAATCATTTATTCAACAATTTGCATATTTTAGCAAATCGAATTTGATAAATTGATATTAAGGAATTCAGCTCACCATCACTTTTGCAATTCTTTTTTTTATAATTTTCGGCATAATTAAAACAAGCTTACTGCAGCGTATCTTAATAGTATTCAAAACATATTTACTAAGATTTGAATCTAATTCTTCTAACTGATAACTGAATAAGACAATTAATGAGAGATATTTCATTACTTGCAAATCCTGCTGAATTACTTAATGATCGATAGAATTACCTTCAATAACGAAATTACCTCCAATGATGTAATATTTTGATTACAGATGGCATAAAAAATCACAAGAATACAATTTTTAATTTATGCTTGGTTAAATTTATATCAGAAAAGGAAACAAATATTTATTTATAATTTTTTTTTTTTTTTTTGCTTATTTGTTTCAATTGTTTAAGAGCACTTGAAAATTTGCACGAACTTGAAGAAAAAAATCAAAATTTTGCATCATTTTAAATTTTAGATGTTCAGAAAAGATTGGTTAGAAATTTCAACGAATTTTTTTTGATAATTTTAATATAAATATATATGTACATAATTTCTGATAGATTGTTAATATAGCTGTTAATATTATCAAATATTTCGTTTTTTTTTTTTTTTTTTTTTTGTTTACTTATGAAAAAGTAGTAAATAAAAATTATGCCGCATTAAATTAATATTAATAAAGTTTGAAATTTAATTTAATCAAGATACAGCAAAAAATATCAACCATGCTATTTGATCCATATGGCATCAATGTAGAATATTGTGTTCAGTTATACAACATCAGTAAATTTTATTGAAGTTAAAATATTTTCATATTAAAAATTTCCGTTTCAAACGTTACTTCGACTTTTTTTTCAATACCTAACAAACATTGAAGAGCTTACAAAAAAGAAAAAAAAAATTTCTTCAATGTCGACGTCGTAAACTTGTTGCCAATGCAAGTTTCTTGTAAGGTTGCATCGTTTGTGCTTCGTCCAATTTTTCCTATAATTATTGAATTTCACATTCCTTACTTTTATTTTTTTTTAAAAAAACAAGAGATTTGACACAAATTTAATGTGCTAACATTTATTAGTCTTACCTTAGTGACAGGAAAAGTGTCGTCTTCCATTGCTTCACCTTCTTCACCTAAAAGACGAAGGCTAATAATTAAGGTGCGAATGAAAAAAAAAAAAAAAATTCTACTCTGTCCGAATGTTCTAGTAAAAATTTCAGTTTAAAACATGAATTCGAAAATAATTTTAACTTGATATTTTTCATTAATCTAAATGAATCCTTCTGAATTTGTTTCTCTGTGAATAATAATTACCAACTGCAAAGTGAAAATTTTTAGTTGAACAACAGTTAAATAATCCTTTTTAATTTCAAATTTAGCTAACTTTACTGGTTATTCCTTATTTGTACGACATTTCATTTCAGCTCTAATAATAAATCAATTTGGATTAAAAAATATAAATTTGTGGAATTTGTAAAAATAAATAAAAAAGTTTGGTAAATAATTTAGCAAGAAATTTTACACGTATATCAATGTAGAAAGGTTAATATAAATATTGATAATAATAAACCTTATACTATAATCTTTCAGATAATTAATTCAAGTAACTTGTAAAATTTTTTCAATTAATTTAATTTATTAAAACAAATGATTTCCATTCCGAAAAACATAGGATGCATCCGCTATAACTCTTTATGTATTAATGGATATAATTCATGCCTTATTTTGCTTAACCAAAATGCTTTAATTAATTAAAATGAATTAGTTAAAATAAAAATCAAAAGAATGTTTAAATTAATTAAAATTTTTAAAATTTTCTGAAGCATAAAGAGATGAATCTTCATTTCTTTATCTCGTAATACAGGAAATTTACAATTATTCATTGATATATTTGAATAATTATTTACCACTTTGTGGACGTATTGCTGGTGGATTATCGGTAATTCTTGTCAACTCTTGGGAATTTTTTTCTGGCCCAATTTTCCCGTAAATACCTGCCGGTCTTTTACCATCTTTTTCAACTTTATCCGATGGCTGCTTGAAATCATATCCGGCATCATTTCCCTTACCATTTCGTACCGGACAAGGACAATATTCAGCATCGGCACCTAAGAAATTGCGAGTCAATTGAAAAGAAATGTGATATTCATATTGTCACATGATTGAAACCTGAAATAACATACCCATTCTTCCCCGTTCTCCGACTGGCCCAGGAATGCCCATTGGTCCTTCTACTCCTGTTGGTCCAGGACGACCAGGTTCTCCAGCCAATCCTTAATGAAGTGACATTTTTCAAAGTGTTTTTGATCGATTAAAATTCTTCTAAAAATTAACAAATTTATAATTACCTATTTCGCCTTCATCACCTCGTTCGCCAGGTGGACCTTGATCTCCTTCTGGTCCTCTTGGTCCAGCATCGCCTTTTTTTCCAGGTGGGCCGCGAGCATATATATAACCATCTTGCCCGGGTTCACCTGGAACAAAATACGATTTTACTGAATAAGAAAACTGAACAAAAAGTCCGAAATTAATCAAAATTTCATCCCAATAAACTAACCTTTTTCATCAAAAATTCATTAAAATAATTTATAATACGCATATAGAATCAATGTCGAAAAAAGCAAGAAATGTAGCATGCAAAAAAATCTGCTCTACTTTGAATATGCTTCAACTTACCATTTTCACCAGGAGGTCCTTGTGGCCCAGGTTGGCCAACATCACCTTCAGGTCCTTCTTCGCCTGCCTCTCCATCACGTCCTTAAAATTCAAAAATCCAAAGTTATTTTTAATCATTTGAATCATCAAACTCCTATAAATAGAAATTGCCCGTTACAGTACCCAAAGAAAAACGGTTAGCTACAGTAGTAGAAAGGTAATAGGCTCCTGAAATGGTTCACTATAATAGCTGGAAAAAATAAATCATTCCGTGAAATGAATTTTAGGTTTTTCTAAGAAGTGGAAAATTTGTTTACCAGGCTTTCCAGGCTCTCCTTTTTTGCCAAATGGTCCACGTGGTCCTCTTCTTCCCTTATAGCCTGGTAAACCAGGTCGTCCTGGCGGACACTGTGCACATGGGCCTTCTTTCGGACTTTCATACATGCCTGCAACACCTTCCTTGCCAGGTAGACCGTCCATGCCATTCTCTCCTGAAATGTTGTCGTTAGGTGCTACATAATTATTGATAGATTTTTTGATTTCTTAACAAATTTAATATAATTTTTTTAAGATTTACGCTTCATTTTTTTCCTTTTTTCAATAATACTTTTTATCTGTTTACCAGTTTTTTCGTCTTAATAACGTACACTTTTATCTGTTTACCAGAAAGGTATAATAATTGGACATTTTATAACCTCTTTCACCCGGTTCACCAGGTGGCCCAGTTGGTCCACGTGGACAGCCATTTTGACCTTTCACACCGTTTGGTATCTTTTTACTCTCAGGTCCATTCCTTCCACCATTTCCTTCCTCTCCATATCCATCTCTGCCTTCTTCTATACCTCTTTTATCACCATTTTCTTCCCCACCACCATCTATAAAAAATTTATAAATTGATCAAAATTCAAAATTAATTTTATTAGGAAAAAGATAGAATAGATTTGCTGAATGATTTAATTCGATAATAATAAATCTCAAATTATAATAAGTAAAAGGATGATCAGGAAATTTTGCATTTGTTAACTTACATTGTGATCTATTTCGTCGTACCGAACGAGTTAATCGTAACTGATCACTTTCTTGCATCAAATAATACCAAATTGTATTAGATAAAGTTTGATATTGATCGCGATGTAAAGTCAATTCTTCTTCCATTTGTGCTATATCATTCAGGATTACCGGAAATATTATAATCAGAGCAATGAATGCTATTCCGCATACAGAGGCTGCAAAAGTAGCAGGACCGTGTAAACGATACTGTTGCATTTTTTTTCCTGCAAAAATGAAAGAAAATAGAATCGGATAGAAAATTTTGAAGATAGCTAGTTTAATATATTTAATTATTCCAATATTTTAATTTAAGATACATTTGGATAAGAAATTTGAAAGCATTCAGTACAATATGACACTTAAAAATTCTGTTAAAATGACGGTTTAAGAATTGAAGTGTAGAATCTGTAAATTAATACTGAGTTTAAATACTAAATTGAATCAGCAATTGAATCCGGTTACATTATCGTTTTTTTTAAAAAAATCTTTTTACCTCCTCTTTTGCTCTTTGCCCTCGTTCTTTCCTACTTTTCGCAAAACTGAATTTAAGTACTAAATTAGTTCAATGATTAATGTTTAATGATACATATACATATCACCGGTTTCATCGTTTTTTTTTTTTTTTTTTTTTTCTGGCCTTCTTTTCTATCACTTTTGTTGTTTTATCTTCCTTCCTTTTTTCATTTTTTCTGAAATCCAATTTCTCCTGAAATGACACAAAAATAACAATAAACGAGTGAGAAATAATAAATAAATAAATGACATTAAAAATCAAGAAAACGAAATACAAAAGAAAATTTTTGGTTTCAGAAATAATTTTTCCTACAGCAGAAAAAAAAGCGGAAAACAACCAATTAAATTGTCAAATGTTTGATAAAACTGAATGTTAAAGTTGTTGTCAAAATTTAAAAAGGCGAGATAAGGTTTCCATATCTTTCTCTTCTTTCAACTTCACTAAGAAAAAAAGAAATGAACTAAAAAAAAAAAAAAAAAATGAATGGAAAGGTTCTCCGTTTTGATTTAAATGAGAACCGAAGCGAACAACTGTCACTTATTTCCGTTTTCGTTTTCTTTTTCTCTCTTTTCTTTTTTCATTTTTTTTTTTTCAATAAGAAATGAAATGGATCTATCCGTATTATTGACAAATTGACAAAAAGGAAACAATAAACAAACGAAAAAATGAAAATATTTTTAAAAAGTACACATTTTTCAAAAAAAAAAAAATTCCTAAAATAGGTCAATAGATTCGAATTTCATCCAATCCGTACCCAAACAAATCGTTTAAGGTTCTTTTCTTTTTTCTTGATACAAAATAAAACGAAATATAAGTGGAAAAAGGAATACGAATACTATGGTATATTTATTCGCTACAATAAGATTACAGAATAACTGTAAAAAACTCATAACAATTATAAATTGATTTCTCTTCGATCTTTTGTTAATTTAAAAGTCTCCAAATTAATTTTTAGTTTTTTTTTTCTCCAAGTTTAATTCCTTTTTTTCTATTTCTGTGTTCATTAATGCATTTCTTCTTTTCATAAAAAATCCTTAAATAAAATTAACAAAGAAATAAAACTATGGGAGTTGTTTCATGACAATGAGCTAAATGTAAGGTTTAAAGTTAACAGTGAAGTTACAATCTGATTTCAAACAAGAAAAGAAGTACAAAGAGAGATGCTGAATGGCAAGAAAAGATTCTGAACAATAAAAGGATGGATTCTGGGTACAAAAAAAGATTTTAAATAGTCAAATGAAATATCAGAGAAGTTTTTGTTGCTTGAGAACCCACTTCATTCAATTCATTTACAATACATACGTGATAAGTGAGGATTTATGATAGTATACCGCCGTACACGTGGAATGCACAAATGCTGTTGTAAAAGAGTCAGAATGATCAGGCAGCGTATTTCAAAAGTTTTGCAGCAATAACGGAAATGTTAATTGGATTTATTGAAACTTTTTTTCATTTTGCTACCTTTCAAAAATATTAACAAGCACTAGTGTAGATGACAGGAGTCAATACCATATCACTTATTATTATTCAACTAATTTATTTTTTCATTTACTTGTTTAATTATTATTATTGTTATTTATTAATAATATTATTTAACATCACTAATTATAATAGTAATAATAATTATTATTATTAATATTGTTAATATTTTATTATTATTACTATCGTTGTTGTTATTATTATTCGTTAGAATTATTATTGATTATTATCATTATAACATAATGTAAAAGTAAAAAATTGTCTATGACATAATTAAAACCCATTTCTGATACAAACGTAAAACTGACGACGTGTGTTGACCACGAAAATAATCCATCATTCTTTAAAAATATTATCAATTATTTTATCATTTTCAAAATATTTATCAATCAGTAATTTGTAATGAGAATTAGGCAAAACGGCATTTTGGAAGCAGAAATCGAATGATATAAAATGCTATTTGGATGAAATTTTTTCAGCTTATAATGAATAAACCTTCCTCATTCAAACGTTCTTATCGTTTAATCTAGTATCGGTCAAGCATAAATCCCAGAAATATTTATTATTTGAGCAAATAATCGCAATTCATAACTCACGTTTGAATTCATGACTGATAACAAATCTTACCTGATCTTCGCTTTCGGAATTAGAATAATTGTTAGCGAGCAAAATTGATGGCAAATAAAGGCTGAATAATTTTGCATTGCGTTTTATTACTAATAATGCTTGCAATACTTCATTTGGTCCATAATAACAATTAAAAATATTATTAGGATGATCAGAATTTTAAAGATAAATTTCGGTAAGCCTAAATCTAGAAATTTTTTAAATGCGTCCCTTGGGTTTGCCCATACAATGAACTATTAGGTAAGATTTTCAACGAGGTAAAATCTATAATGATCTAACATACTGTTTGTTGGAATTCCTATATACTTAATTTTATTTTGATGGTTTGTTAACAAACACGTTTAAAATTTAAAACTTATACATCATGTATTATTTGTTTTATGTTAGCTCGTATGTTTTATTCAAAAAATTATTCCCGAAAGAAATTAATTAATAATTAACAAAAGAACAAGAAAACATTGAAACAGTTTGAGCCATAGAACTGTTTCACATAACCATTTTTGTTTAGATAATCTTGATATGGTCAAAATTTTATTCGAAAGAGACTTAGTCTTCACTTTTTAAAAGAATGAAAGATATGACACCATGCAAAAGCGTCAAAAATTAGGCACAAAGATCTTATTTTGCGATTACTTCGCAGAAATATTGAAACAACAACTAGCTAGCTTCCTGTTTGTTTTCCGTATCATAATTATAAAATCGTTCGATTTCTTTCCGTAAGGGTTCATAATAATCCCAATCATATTTCGGCCTCCTGGAAATTAATATTTCCGGCAAACCACGTGCTCTGATTCCTTCCGCTTCTTTCCATATTTTATAATCCTTTTCTGTATCCAGGATATTTGTTATAATACAAAATGGAATTGATATCAAACCAGCAAGCCTATAATAATGAATCCTATTTAAATTACTTCCCTTACGTACCATATTCATAATTCCTCCTTTTTTGATCATCTTCATTTTATGAAAAATTTTATATTCTACAGAAATTTTTTTAATATATGTATATAAAATCATTCATTAAAGTATTGCATTGATCAACAGAAGGACGATACAAAAATTATGATAATTTAGAAAATTTTTGAAGGAATAAAAATGATTTAAAATAAAACACCAAATTTCCATCTTTTTCTAATATAAAAATGCTCAATGCTTACATACTAGCACGTGGATTTCCTGTAACACCGTAAAAGAATACACTTGACAGGGTAAAGTTAACTGCTGTTGACACAACTGTAAGTGGAAATCCGGGATCAGCTTGAAGTTTTTCCTGGACTATGCAAAAAATAAAAAAGAAAAACTTAAATGCTAATTTAAAAGAGAAGTAAACAAAAGGATGGAAACTTGAGAAGGAAAAATAAATAAGATAGCATTTTAAGGTTGTAGAATACTGGTCACGCAACAAGTTCAACCGTAACTATCAAATTGAGATTTGATCGATTCCATTATCATAATTTTTTGTTCCTTTGTCCTACATTACCTGTTATTCCATTGAAATAAATAACTATACATTAAAGTCCCAAAGTTCTTTTAATAACATTTAACCTTTAAACCAATTTTACGTAAAGGCTGAACTTCCTTGATAGATTCATCTTCTGTAGACATCCTTGAAAACACTTCACAAAAAATAACAATCTGAGAAAGAAGCTCGAAAAACCTAAAAATTTAATTTTTGGTATCAATGTAAACAGTAATTGATGCAAATGAGAATTGATAAGCACTGTACTTAGCGCCATATTTAAAGATACTTTTGTTCTCACTGTCAGTATGGCTGCTAAAAATTTATAGCACAGAATACTTACCACTGAGAAAATAATTGTAGTACTACAAATATTTTATTCTGAATACTTTTGGTGAATGTTTTGCAATTCTGATAAATTAAAATAGTACGTCTCTTGAGATAAAATTGTTATACCTAAATTTTACCTAACGAAAACAAAATACAAAAGTTTTGCTTGCGCAATTATATGTTACAGAAGTTTCCACCTAGTATAACATAAATACTTTATATTGTAGAAGTCCTTCTCAAATCTTATTGTAATAAAGAACTTATGTACAACGTGTTACACACAAAGCTCATGTACAGTAGCTTACGTATATAACTCTTCCAAAGTATTGATAAATCGATTCTCAGTTGTGATTGCATCTACAATGTCAGTATACTTTCGTGCTGTTAACGAACAGACGATCATTCTAAACTAATACAAACCTTTTATTTCATTAGTTAATAGAATAGGGAAATACATTAGTCAATTAAAACAAACAATTTATTATTCCTGAATAATAGTAAAACATATCAATATGGTGGTATTTTTCATGAAATACTGTCCTATCCCTCGATTAACTAAAATACTGAAAATTTCTCAATCAAAATCAATGATAAAGGAAAAGGCCAATAGAGGAATGAATATCCTTAACTATTTCACTCATTTTGACATTTTACTATTACCGGAATGTAGAGAAAAAACCGTCAATAGAGGGACAAATTATAATTGTTGAAAAATAATTTGAAATGCAAAATCATTTCCTAGTTTGGCAACCAGCACTGTATAATTCTGAAGAATGAAACCTATAATGAAGAGAGTTTTGGACGTAA